ATATATCTAGTGACTAGAATGTTCGTATAGATCGTTTCTACGTTCATAAACGCTCATTTGGTTGAGTTTTGTGTTTGACATGCTTGAAGAACCAAGAATCATAAACCATGAATTTGATGTTTAAACTATGAATTAATGATACCAAAATGACCTATGAACCTTGGAGAACATCCCTATATAGTTTCGTTGAAGTTCAGTGTCTGAAAATGGGTTTTCCGAAAAATGGACCGAAGGTTGAAGAAGATGAACAGTAAGCTGAAACTCACTGTCTGGATCGATCCAGGGGCTTGGATCGATCCCCTGGGAGTGATTTTTCATTGTATGGATCGATCCAGAGGGCTGGATCGATCCTCCGAAGTTCTGATCCGAAAATTTGTCTGAAAATGCTATTTTTGAGCTCTAAAATCCTATTTTTGATACTAATTGATTAGGATCATTATAAAAATGATTTACCACAATAAAAAAGATGTTTTTAACAACTAAAAATGTTATGTGTTGCATGACGGTAAGTTCGGGTGTTAACACTCGAAGCTAGGCCGCTATTTGTTATCAATTGTTACGTTAATTGATGATTATGATAAATGAATATTATGGATGATTATGAGTAATGAACCCACTGATTAAAATAAGTATTTATGATTGAATCATGAGTAAAATGAATACAATTATAATTATGAAATGATTTGTAGTGTTAAAAGTATCTAGAGGAACTCTAAGATAAACACATTTAGAGAATTGATGTTAAGGTTATCTAGAAGACCTAGAATAGATCTCATATTAGTATGGATTTGTGAAACATAAATATTGATGAATTATATAAAAATACATAAACGAGATTCGTAGACCAATCTAGAGGATTACTCGTTTGGGAATGCCCGATCCAATATTGATCAATTGCCACATTGTTGTTGTTGCCTTAACTGACTATAGTTAAGTGTCTGAATCATTTTCCTTAAACTAGTGATAGTTTAAGTGTCTGATTGCCTTAACTGACTACAGTTAAGTGTCCGAAATCGATTGCCTTAAACTAATGATAGTTTAAGTGTCTGATAATTAATTGCCTTTTTAAGAGCATTGTTACGATCTGGCCTTAGACTAAGAATAGCCAAGAGCATTGTTATAATCTGGCCTTAGACTAAGAATAGCTAAGAGCATTGTTATAATCTGGCCTTAGACTAAGATTAGCTAAGAGCGTTGTTAATGTTTGGCCTTAGATTAAGAATAATTTAAGTGCGCTATTAGAATAATATCTGAATTGAATAAAATGTGTTGAAATGAACTAAACATTATCAAAACTGTGAATGTCTGAAATGAACATTATGTGCATGATATCAAATGAATTGAATATGAATTTAGATTCAATTTATATGGATGTTCGACGCATTAGATATGCTTACTCAGCTTTACCGCTGAGCGTGTAGTGTGTTTTATTTGCTACACGCAGGTTAAATAGAAAGACCAATGTGATCCTGGAGGCAGATGGGGCGAGATTGTCGGGATGGATGTGACAAGTTTGAAATAATTTATGATGTGTCAATATTAAATTCGCTTCCGCAATATTATTGAATACTCTGTACTGTATATGTATGAAAAATATTATTGTGATAAATAAAGTTGTTTGAAAAGTTTTAAATTTTTACAATTACCAAGTTAAATACTTTAGTTCGAAAGGGGCTGCAGACCTGGACGGATTAGGGTGTTACACATCATATTAATGGGGTTGGGTATCCATGTATATCGATCTTTTTTCTCACATTTCTTTGATGTTGGAGAAGTTTGTCCATATTTACAAGTTATATAATTTTCAATTCGTACATTTATATTTTTTATAATAATAATAATAATAATAATAAATCGTATTAAAATAAGAATAACATGAAAACACAATATTAGAAAAAATTGATAAAAATGGTAAAAATTAGGAAGAATTTAAAAAGTGAAAATGTTCATAAATGAATCGAAGCAAAACCCCTTGTTGGGCCTAATCGGGTCGGATATACCCGAAACGAACCCACTCGGCCCTCTTTGAAAATCTACCTATCCACTTTCTATCTCCCTCCCCGACCTCTTTCCCGTCGGAGGCCACTCCCTGTAGCAGCGGTAAATCAGAGTAAAGCTTTCTCCCAGCCCAAATTCCCGGTCGTTCTTTATCTTTCTCCGCAATGAATTGCTCAAGTATGGATAAACTTTCATTTACTTCTCGTTTTTTGTTGTTTTAATCTTGTCTATATACCCTTTATAGTTATGCTACACTGTTATGCACGCACATTTAAACCTAATTCACGTGTTTTTGATCGATTAATGTTCGGATCTCACAGTTTCCGGCGAGGTGCCAGAGGAGCCTGTTGTTTCACTGAAGTCTGGGCTTCTATTCGATAAGCGTTTAATCGAACGACACATCTCGGTGCGTTTTCTACCTCTTTCCATGTCTGGTGTTCGTCGTAAGATGTTAACATTCGATATTCGAATCTTTACTTTTTCTCAGCTATGTTTGTCATGGTCAATAGAATGTGTCCATGGAAGTAAGAAAGCGAAGCCCCCTTGTGTTTGTGTTTGTTGCACGGGAAACATAAGCTTCCAGTAATGTTGTTTTCCCACAGTTTGAGATTGGGATAAACATTGCATTGTGATGGGTTTGGAGAGAACTGTGAGCTTAGTTCTAGTGGACAGTGGTTGGCTCAATATCAGAAACTTGCATTTTCAGCATAACCATGGCCTTAACTCATCAAGGGAAACTATTTTTATGTATTTTTTCAAGTTGCCCGCAAGAGGAAAGGACGAAAAGTCATTTTTATATACTACATGTAATGTACTGTATAGTTAGGGCATTCTGATTCAGAATTTTATGCCAAAATTGATGGTAGAAGTAGACATCCTCCGCCTGTCCACAACACCAAGATTTTTTTTAGCATTTAATTTAATATCTAGTCTGAAGATTTCCCACCCAAACGTTATGCAAAGAAAAAAGGGCAGTGTGATATGTATTATCCCACTTATTTTTTTGGGATGATTCTTTCTGTCTTTTTTGAATTTGTGTGAGGTAGTCATTTTAAGTTGTAATTGTTATATAGCATACTGGCATCTATGTTAAGAAACATTTTATGTATACTTTATGGACTTTGTCATACTATTTTGTATTGTTATTGTCTTTTCTGTTTTAAAGTTGAATTTCTCTCTATAGGACTATGGTAAATGTCCAGTTACTGGAGAGCCTCTTACAGTGGATGATGTAGTCCCGATCAAAACAGGAAAGGTTGGTGCTTAATATGATGCTCAACAGAAATTTTCTGAAGTTGCCAACTTGCCATTGTGGTTCAGCTTCAAACAATTCTATTACCTATTTATCTTACAGTATATAAATATATACTTCGTAGTTCTTATATCACATAGCTGATAGATTCAATTAATCATTTGTTTGAAGCTTATACATTTATCTTTTGCAGATTGTGAAGCCCCGATCTGTTCAGGCTGAAAGCATTCCGGGGATGTTGGGAATGTTTCAGATTGTATGTTTTCTTATCCTCGAGTTTCCTCATTCATTTTTTGTTTGCTCTTAGTATCTCCATGTATGTCACATGTGTTATTTCCATGAATCCATTTATTTAGCATTTGTTTGAATTGTATACATTCTCATACCTTCCATCGCTTCTCAGTTCAGACCACATGCCCATCAGCAATAAGGGATGTGCTGAATTGAGTGTAGTAGTGTACGAATTAGCACTTACGTAGTAATATACAATCATTTTTCTGAACTCTATTTCTGTATGCTTCAATTGCATGCATTAACACATTCTATTTTCAGTTGGGATTAATTATTCGTCATTTGAGGGACTTATTCTTTGCTTCTGAATTGCTATTTAATTGTTATATCTGTCATGCTTCCAATCAGGAATGGGATGCTCTGATGCTATCCAATTTTGCATTGGAGAGCCAATTGCATAATGCAAGACAAGAGTTAAGCCATGCACTATATCAGGTAACTTTAAATTGTCCATTTCCTACCTGGTACCGAGTAAAAAGCTTTTGTTGCTCACATACTTTTCTATTCTGCACATTGTGGTTTCTTTTCTTCCACCTATACCCATTTTCCTTAACTCATTACTTTTCTGTTCAAAAGAATGCCATTTCCAACTTCTATATCTGTGTGATTTCTGAATAACGTGTCTTGTTTTGGGCTTTTTGCAGCATGATGCTGCTTGCCGTGTGATTGCAAGGTTGAAAAAAGAAAGGGATGAGGCAAGGTCGTTGCTTGCATTGGCTGAAAGACAGATACCCAACACAGCAGCCATTGAAGTTGCTGCGAGTGCCTCATTAAGCAATGGGAAAAGAGGTTATTGCCTTTTGCACTTTGTAAATATCCGATTTTCTATTTTTTCTTAATGTCTAACCTTGCACAGTTAAATTTTCTTATTAAACTTATAGCCGCTGAAGATACGGAGATGGATCCCGGAGGCAAAAAAATCCGTCCAGGAATTTCATCAGCAATTATTACAGAGCTGTCAGATTGTAATACCACCCTTTCACAGCATAGGAAAAAGCGACAGGTAAATCATCTTAAAATTTTTAATATATTAAAAATTCAGAATATATGTTGATATTTTTCTCTTCTTGGCATTACTGCCATTGCCACTCCAGATTCCACCAACATTGGCTTCTATAGACAGTCTAGAGAGATACACCCAGCTGAATAGTCACCCTCTTCACAAAACCAACAAACCAGGGATACTATCTTTGGATATCTATTGCCCTAAGGTAAATGCAATTGTGATACATGATGCAATACTTCATACTTTTCACAAGTCATTTAAGCTAATAAAATTCCAAATAAAGTGGAATTACAATTCTGACTTTATTGTAAAGCACTATTGTTCATTGGTGCAATCTTAAGATGCAAATGAAGCATTCTTGGTTCAGAACACACTTTCAGGGATGAAAGAACTAAACTAACAGTCATAAGTGATCCTTACACTATGCTTTTCAATTTCATACGGGTGTGCTCCTTTATAAAGTAAATATATATACACATACACAAAAATGATATTTTTCCTTCACTTTTAGAGGTGGGGATTTGTATTGGTTATTTATGCAATGAGCTGCCTGTCTTGGTTGTAATATTCTTTTTTTTTATTTTTATATTTTATACTCTCTCTCTCTCTCTCTCTCTCTCTATTTCACACCCTGTGCTTTGGTTATCAGGACATCATTGCTACTGGTGGAGTCGACACTAATGCTGTTGTCTTTGACCACAACTCAGGACAGATAATATCTACACTAAGTGGTCATTCAAAGAGGGTCTGTTTGATAAATGCACTTTGATTCCAGACTTGCATGTTTCAAAATGCTTTATTGCATTTCCTAATTATTAACATCTTTACGGTTCACATTCCCTTTTTGATAGGTTAACAGTGTGAAATTTGCTCGTGAAAGCGAAACTGTGATTACAGGTTCTGCTGATAAGGTGAATCCTTTCTTGATTCTAAGTTTTTGTTTCCCGTGCTACAAATTACACTTTGAATTTTTTGTCTGTATTTTACTCAGCTTATGCGCTATCCACAGTATATATCGTATATTGCAATACTTAGCTTATGCGCTATTCACAGTATTATATTTCTAATCCATCATACTATGCAAGACTTTTTAGTATACTTCTCTTGTAGTTTGATATTTTTGTTTGACAAATTTTGCATTCTGCCTTGCAGACTGTCCGTTTATGGCAAGGATCTGAAGATGGAAGCTATGCCTGTAGACATGTACTGAAGGATCACACAGCTGAGGTTGGCTAAACTCCATCCTCGTAATGAACTGATGATCAATCATAAACCTACTTCCTTTATTTAATATCAAAAGTAATCTTGATTGCTATCTCGTTTCAATGTGTTCTTTTATGCCCTTAAAAATGTTAACCGGGAAGCTACAGTTAATGGAATAATGTGTAAACGTATTTTAAAAATCTGAAGAATTTCTTCAGCCTTCAGGAATCTTTTAAATACTTTACACAGTTCATCTTTTCAAGAGACCTGTAGACAAAATTATCATTATAATACTTCATAATGTAGTCAGTAACTGATAAACGTTGAATGATTAGTTTTCTCAATAATCCCAGGTGCAATCTGTCACTGTTCATGCAACCAATAATTACTTTGTTACGGCTTCCCTTGATAATACATGGTGCTTTTATGGGCTTTCTTCAGGTTTATGCCTTGCTCAGGTTATTACTGCACACGCTATCTCCCCCCCCTCCCCTTACATGCTTTTACTTCTGGACTGTTAGATTATTAAGCTATTTTCTTTGTTTTTTGGCAGATCGGAGACCCTTCAGAATCTGATGGCTATACGTCTGCAGCCTTTCATCCGGATGGTCTGATTCTTGGAACTGGCACAGCAGGAGCTACCGTAAAGATATGGGATGTAAAGAGTCAGGTGTGCTTTCTATGTTTCATAGAATATATTCCTCTTTTGTTTTCTCCCCACTTCCCAATATCTTTGACGATCAACGATTAAAATTTTCAATTATATTTTATTCAGGCAGTTGTCGCACAATTTGATGGCCATGTTGGAGCTGTTACATCCCTCTCTTTCTCTGAAAATGGTTATTTCTTGGCAGTAAGAATTCTCTTTAGCAAACATTTCCTTGACCAAGACTCGTTTATAAAATATAATGGTGTGTGATTGAAGATGATAAATATATTCTCAGACTGCAGCTGTAGACGGAGTTAAGCTCTGGGATTTACGCAAATTGAGGAATTTCAGGAACTTCTCTTCTTATGATGAAAATACACCAACCCAAACCGGTATAATTTTGTTCACATACTTTTCTGTTGCTGTGGTCTTTTAATATACACATAAGCATTACATATTTACAACATAAGGTTCCATGGCTTTCTTTTACTCATGTCATATTTAGATTCTGAAATAATGAATTAATGATAATGAACTTCCTGGTTATTGTGTCCTGATGCTTGCTTCATTTACAGTGGAATTTGACCACAGTGGAAGTTACCTGGCATTGGGAGGCTCAGATATAAGGTGAAATTTGAGTAGAAATATCCGGTCTTTACAAACAATTTATAAATATTTTGTGAAATGTTAAATCTTTTATTGCCCGCTCGTCATCGTTCCCTGATTTTGTTGCAGGGTGTATCAAGTTGCAAGTGTCAAGTCGGAATGGAATAGCATCAAAACATTACCTGACTTGTCAGGCACAGGTATAGGGCATGTTTGGCTATAGCTTTAGCATTTTGAAAAAGCTATCTAATGGCAGTGTTTAATTTTAGCATGTTCAATGTTAATCTGTACCATTAACAAATTATCCCAAACTCTGATGTTAATTGCAAAGGTTGTCCCCAAACAATGCCGTACATTATTCTCTTTCAAAAGATCCTATATTTACTTCTGTTACAGGATTGTCCATTCTAAGTTTTCTTTATGCACAGGCAAAGCCACATGTCTGAAATTCGGCCTGGACGCAAAATACATAGCGGTTGGATCAATGGACAGAAATCTCAGAATATTCGGTTTGCCCGGGGACAAAGGTCGTCTACAAGAAGATTAATTCTCATCTCTCACGATTCTGCCCTTCAGTCTTCATTAGCACTTTCTACATGTCTTTGTATGTTTTTTTAATGTTAAGCCATTGATCTGTAGTACTCGTACGACATTGCCACACGAAAAAGAATTCTACTTTTAATCTTAAATCGAGTGTTATTTGAAACATCATTATTCATTAGTGTTCTCGAATGATAAAAGGAAGATATATTATGTAAAGAACTAATGATGGATCAAAATTTTAGTCCACAAGAGTAAAGCCTCTTTTGATATATCCCAAACACGAAAACGGCAAGCCAAGAGCATTCTCAACTTCAATGGCTTTGCTCATCAGTGTATTCAAAACACTTACTCTGTTTAAACAACTTCCACTCTCACCTTTTCCGAAACCCCTAGCTACAACGAGAGACGTGTTACACACCCACGGCACAGAAACGGCGTATGCCACACCGTCCGAATTCTTCCCATTCCCGAGCAACGCCTCCTTGTAGGCCCCACACACTTGTTTCATGTAGGGGCCCATAGGCAAATAGTGGCTGCCGCCGCCGCCGGATCCACTGGCGGCGGCGGCCCTATAGTCCACGTCCGAGTGGAGGTTCACAATCACCGTCCCGTGCTCGGGGTGGAGGCGGTCGCCTAAGGCCTTGAGGAACGGGTAGTGTGGGTCCCAGAGCTTGTAGGGGAAGACATCGTCGCCGTCGTATGCGTCGATGAAAACGATGTCGTAATGCGGACGGGTGGGGTCCGCAATGAACTGCTCGGCATCTGATTCGTACAAACGGATCCTCTCGTGCGTTCCTTTCCACAGCATTTCTTGGATGGAGTTGGTAGATGGAGGAGAAGTCACAAGTGAAGAAGAAGAAGATGGAAACCCCATGGCTTGCACTGAAGCTGAGATGACAGTAGGGTCAATTTCAACATCATGCACCATAGCACCTATGACATACAAATTATCATTAAACCCAATCTTGCAAGTCTATGGCTTTGTTTGAAGACAGCGTTTTTGACTAGCTTTAGCGTTTTGAATAAAATTGTAATGGTGTAAATTAATTCTGAAAGCGCTCATGCTAAAAGCTACTGTTAGACAGCCTTTTCAAAATGCTAACGCTAAACTCTAACATTGTTGCCAAACGGGGCCTATGATTTATGTCAAGTGGTTATAACATGAAGAACCAAGATGGAGATAGCTAGTTACCTTGAATTTTACTTGCTAAGAATAATGGTATGCTTCCTCCACCATGACCTATGCACAAGATATTCATCTTCTTCGCTCCACATATAGCTTTCAGTAGATCATAGTTGCAAGATGAGATAGTCGCTAGCCCAGAAGAAATCATACTCTTTACATCTACAAACATCATGACAAAGAAAAGCAACAAAGCATCCTTTCCATAAGATGAATCGAGCAATTTTATCTCTTCAAATACCATTGGATCACAAGCAACAAAAAACACACAAACAATAACAAGTAACATAGAAAACCCAATAGAAAAACAGTGATATAGATGAATACTGCATAAAACTGAATCCAACAAAAATGACTTTCAATTTCCATTCAAGCATAGGAAAGCTAAAATAATCACTCATTTCTATTGAACAACCCATTTGTTGTGCATAAAATGATAAAAACAGGGGTAAGTCAGGTAACGTTATTAAACAAGTAAAAATAGGTGTAGTTACAATTCCTAAAATGCCCTGTGTGGCTAGGTCATAGATATATTAAATCATATTGGCAAGAAAAAAAAAAGCTGGCCTGAAACTGAAACATCATATGACATACATCCTTACATGGAATGGCCAGGCAATGTGGCTGCTGCATCAAGAACAAAGAATCCGGATCTGACTTTCTGTAAAAAGACATTACTTTAACAGTGCTCTGGCGAGTTTCTTCATTAAACCGAAGAGCCCGCCACTGGTAACCAAGAATCTTGAAATTCTCATGGTGTCCATTATAACCTGGATGTAACTCAGCAAACCTTTCCTGTAGCCACTTCTCTGTTCTCCCCCAGTAAACTTTGTCCTGCAACGGATTTTAGGGTATGCTTGGATCACGGAAGAAACTCCAAATTTTATAGGAAATTATTTTCTTGATATGTTTGATTTTACCATGGAAAATTCAAACAAAAAATGAAATATGACCATTCTTTTCAAAAATTTCACACTTATTTTGATTTCATAATGTTTGTGTAATATAAAGAAATAAAGAATCACTTAAAAACGAAAAGTAAAATAAATTTATTGACAAAAAAACCAAGGATTTTCACAGAACATAGAGATGCACACAATGTGTTCAATTAAACCCTCCTCTGCAATCTCAATCACGAGAGAGGTTCTCAGCAAACACAATGTTTATACACTGAAAGTAAACATTTAAATAAGCTCTTTCTATTCAATTCATGAATCAGCACTCAAACATCAAACCCTACTTTTTACCACTAGATACTTTAATTATCTCTCACACACAAATTTCTTAATTCAATCGAAAAACAACTATGAGACATGAACGGATTTATTATGAATAACAATGGGAGTATAGGCATGCAATAAAACACGGTAATGCGAAAAATTAAAGTTAGAGGAAGAGGAGAGCGAACTGGTTTGGATGAAGGGTAAGCTAAGACGGAAACTTCGCCGTTTCCCTTGTCGGAAACTGATCGGAAAACAGTTTTTCCACCGGTGCCGTTGCTGTCCCACCACTCGGAAGAGTAGAGCCAGTCGCCTTCATCTTCTCCGCGGCTTTGTACGGCGGTCCGCAAGTGCCGGATCTTCTGCTCGAACCTCCGCCCGGCTCTGTTCATCAACATCCCTCCCGGAGCCGCAGCAGACCCTGAGATCTGTACTTCAATTCAGTATTTTAGTTGCAAGTGTAAAAATTGAAAAAAACAAAATATTTATAACGTAAAAAACTAGACAAAAAAAATTACAAAAGAAAAAAATGATATGACTATATTATTTTTTTTAAATAAATAACAAAAATCAATAAATATAATTAGTAAAATTAAACTCTGTAAATAGTGCCTGAGAACTCTTTTTCTCTTCAAGGAAGTAGCTTCTGAAACTTGAATTTAGAATATTTGAAAAGATCTAAAGTTATGACTTTTTGTAATACGCGACAACGAAAGTTGTGGATGGGGACTTTGTTTGGTAACAACGTTTTCGATTAGCATAAGCGTTTTGGATAAAATTTCAATGGTGTAGTTTAATTCTTAAAACGCTTACGCTAAAGACTGTCGCCGGATAACTTTTTTCAAAACGTTAACACCAATATCTAACGTTGATGTCAAACGAGATAGAGATTAATATCTCGTATAAAAAGAATTTTGATTTTGAAGATATCAAAATTTGATATTTAAATAAAATAAATTGAAAAAATTTTAATATTTTACCTTTTTTTTTAGAAATGTGGGGAGTATTTAAAATCATTGCTATTACCCCTATGTTTGACTAAAGAATATTCGGAAACGGTAGCTGACCAAACCCGGGAAGTTTCCAAAAGAAATGGGATCCACTCAAAGCCCATATTCTACTCCGTTGGAGTATTTTTATTCCCCTTTTTGTCCTCGCCCCGGCCGGCAACCTGCTGCCTTCCCACGCCACTTAACGAAAACCCCTTCTCATTCCAATGTCACTTATTCCTTTTTCACACGCCCTTTGAAAGTCTCCTTCTTTCTTTCTCTGTTTTTTTTTTTTTGAATAAATAAAATCAAATTTTGTCACTCCTTTTATTTCCTGAATAATCTCTCAGATTTGGATTTCAATTTCTTCGCACAGCTGGCAATGGAGAACTCATCAAGTAGGGCTTTCTTTCTTCTTCGCCATAATATTGTTCCCTTTTTTACCCCCCTTTCTGGTCTGGGTTTTGTTTGCTGTTTTGACAGTTTATGGGCTTTTTGTGTGTGTTTTTGTTTGGTTGAAGGGTATCCGAAGGTAAGGGTGAAGGTTGAGGAGGAAGAAGACGGGAATGGTTATGGGTTGGGTTTTTTGTCATATTTGAAGTCCTATGATGCCCTTTCCAAAGGTATTTTCCCAATCATTCTTCTTTGTATCATTGATTATGCTATTACTGGACTATATTCTGCTGTTTTTCTTGTCTTGTTAGTTAGAAATGTTTTTGGCCATGTCTCTTTAAAAAGGTGAGACAGATTTGGCTGCCGAATAGAGCATCATATCCCAGGGCTTTCAAGTTGCCCAAATATGATATTATGTGTTTCTAAAAAAATAATAATGAAAAATAATTCTATATTGAATTGTATTGAAGATTGCAAAGATTGAACCCTCTTTACATAAGAAGAGAGTAAAACAAATAAGTTCTATTCATACTATAACAAGAATAGGAAGACTACCAAATCCTAAAACATATTCTAACATTCTTGATCAAATCCTATTTTTATGATGGCATGAGGAAGATTGGTGTGTTAAACCTCTACCTAATGGTCTCTCTATATATATACACTCAAGGCGAAAGTCTAATTAGTTGTAAGGATAATTATGTCTGTCAAATAATTATCAGTCAAACATATAAGGGTTTTAAGGGCAATGATCAACTAATAGAGAAAAGATAACTCAAGACACATAATAAAAACCATGTCTGAGAATATGAACATTGTTTAGTATTTACGTCAAAGACTTTGTAATCCAACACTATGAGTGTGACTTTCCCAAATGGGAGGTCACATCTTCGAACCCCAGTGAGAGCATTCACTTTTTTTTTTTTGCTTCATTAGTAGCGTATGTCATGTATAAACAAATATCATTGTTATAGATACAATAGTACTAAAAAATATTGTTTGCATAACAAATATTAGTGTCGAATTCATTTGAAGAACTTATTTTGTAGGGGTCGACCAACATTACTTAGTTTTCTTTTGTATGCACAGATGATTATCCAACCTCCATCGCAAGGATTCCCACGGCGCACATATCGGGTTCTTCCAAACCCGTAACCTCTACGTCCACAGGTTTTTTTCTCGCTTACGTTTTGTAGTTTGTCTCCTCTTCTTAAATATATTTAAACATACAGAATATATACTTTAATAAGAGTATATATATATATATATATATATATATATATATATATATATATATATATATATATATATATATATATATGCCTCCTCTTCTTAAACACCCCAATGTAAACAAATTTAAAATTTGTTGGAATTTCATACCAAGAATTGTACTTGCAGGAAATTCAAAGAGCCAGAAAACTTCAAGTGAAATGGAAGCAAAAACCAGAGCTGGTTTAGTGTCAAGGCCCCGAGCGGTTTTATCCAGTCCCGATAACGATAAAATGGCGGGAACGACGTTTGACAAGCCCAGGGCTGCTACTAGTAAAATGGGCCGGGGTAGTTCAAGTAAAGGAGCCCAAGCCCAATTCAAAGAGATTCGTAAAACAATCAATGCTAAAAACTCTTTAAAGGCCCGAGATGATGGTGGGCCAGGCCGGGGTTGTCCAAGTAAAGGGGCCCAAAGTCAATGCAAAGAGATTCCCAAACCAATCAATGCCCAAAACTCTTTAAAGGGCCGAGATGTTGGTGGGCCGGTCAGTCAGGTCAAACGAAAGATAGCGAGTACAGTTAAACAGTCCAAGTGAAGGACAAAAGTGTCAATTCCCACACAAGAACGCCACCAAATTGTGTATATGGACAAAAATTATTGATCCGGAGTATTTAATTACTCGATATTGTGTCTAGGTTTAGAGAGGTTAGAGTGTAATTTAACTAATCTTAAGTCTAGTAACTATAGTGTTGAAAAGAAAATGTCTTTAAAATGCTATTTAAAAATATTCTTTGAGAGGTATGATATGTATAAGTAATAGCAATATTTTTTTGAACATGCAATAGCAATATTCTCTTATTTATCTAAAAAATTAAAATTTGTAAATTACTCCGTAGTTTTTTTATCAATGTTTTAGTCCTTCTGCAAAAAAATGACCCTTTTATTTATGTACAGAGTAAAAGTCATACTCCTTCCAAAAAAACTCATTTTCTCTTTGGAAAATATAAAAAATGACATTCTTTTGTTTTTAGATAACTTTTTGTGGCTTATATTTTTTCTTCTTTCTTGCGTGTTACTTTTTACCACACAATTTATTTTATTTAAACTTAATACCACATTCTATTAGGAGTCTTTATAATTATTACTACATTTCGTTTGATTTTTTCTATTAGGAGTCTTTATAATTATTAGAGTAAATTATATAAAAGGTCCCCAGTTATAGGTCGTTTTACATATTTAGTCCCTACATATCAAATATTACTAATTTAGTCCCCAATTATTATATTTATTTCCACGAATGGTCCTTTGTTAACATTTCCGTTAAGAACGTGGATAAAATTGTATATTCATACTTCTCTCTCTCCTCAATTAAGCTTTCTTCATCTTCTCATACTCTTTCCCAAACTCGTCGCTGAGTTTGAAGCTTAACCCAAAATTTAAATGATCGTTCCTCCAGTTAGACAAACAATTGAGAGAAGAGTGATGATTTTGGTTTAGGGTTCAAAACTAGAAACTCAGCGACGGGTTTGAGAAAGGAGTACAAGGGAGGAGAAAGCTTAATTGAGGAGAGAAAGGAGTGTAATTTATAATTTTATCCACGTTTTAATGAAAATGTTAACAAAGGACCATTCGTAGAAATAAATATAATAATTGGGGACCAAATTAGTAATATTTGATATGTAGGGACTAAATATGTAAAACGACCTATAACTGGGGATCTTTTATGGAATTTACTCTAATTATTACTACGGGGGGTGTATTCAATTCAGATTTTAAATGATTATCTTATACTTTTTATAATCCATAGATTATGTAAGATTTATGGATTGTTTAAATTCTACGTAGATTTGAATATATTCTAATGCATTGGATTATCAAGACTTGTTAGAATTTGTTTAGATTTTTAAAAGTCTTAAAATCCTTTCTTCTAACTCATTTTTGAATCGGAAGACATCCATCAGAAGCAATGATGCTCTCACTCCCGGCAAGTTGATCGGACAAAAAATCAGACCTAACCACCAAGCTTGGGTGCAAAGCAATTCCAATAATGAAGGAAAAAATCTCCAACATCTTTGAACAAGAAATTCTATCGGAAGATTTCAGCAAGAGAAAAAGAAATCTTATAGGAAGATTTTAGGGAGAAATTGGATTAATAGGAAGAAACTGATACAACCAAAGATCCAAAAAGAACAACAATGTTTCGATTGGAATAAAGCAGCGATGGAGGGTCGCTGCCGTCTGCAAGTAGCCAGCCTCGCGCCACCACAGGTTCAATTGCCGTCGCGGTCACAGGAGAACACGAGAACATAGCAGGAGCAGGGCGATTGTGCACAAATTTAAGCCGCTGAGCAAATTGATACGGAAGACGAGCAGATCAAGATATAGAAGATGAACAGATAAAGATAAGGAGGAAGAGCATATCAAGATACGAAAGTATCCTTCAAAATCTCTACATTTGTGGTGGGATTTGTATATAGCATTTTATGTACAAAAAGAACTCTAAAATCCTTTAGAATCCGTATTTGATAAAACTTTTTGGAAATCCATTGATTTTTCAATACTACTAAATTTTGATGAACATTTTAAAATCTTAATTAAATACTTTGAGATTTTAAATGATTTTTTAAAATCCTAATTTAATACCTACAGACTTTTAAAATACAAAAAAATCCTGTAAAGTATAGATCGAATACACCCCCCTACATTTCGTTTGATTTTTTTCCCCTAATACTCTGTATGTCTCTTTCTATTAAAAAAATATATACACAGTAATTAAGTTGTAATATAGGATCAATCTCTACTCAATTTCTTTATTTATTTTAGTTTTTAATTTAAAAAAGTAATATAGTTATGTCACATGTTATTTTGTAGAGCACTTGACGTAATTTTTTGATATATAAATTTTAATTTTTAATTTTGTTCCTATTATCAAGTAGTTTCTTTGAAAAATATTATAATCAAACATTAGAAACCGGAACATGTGATTTAAACTAGGATGAGGGAAGTAATGTTTTTTTTAAAAAAATTTTAGTGAAATTAAATTTTAAAAAAAAGTTTGAATTGATGGTGTGGATGTAAATTAAAGGGAATTATCTCAAACAAAAGCGCGATATCTTATCCGTGGTCTATCTCTGCAATCTCATTGGACAATATCTGTCCACGTCAGCAAACCAAATAACGATATCTCCCAACCCGCTCAACAGAAGAAGACACTTCTGATTTCCAATAACAACCCGATCAGCCCACAGCCACCGCAAACCACCACCGGGAGTACTATTCCGGCGACATGGCCTCCTCCATATCCACAACGATTCAAACCCTCAACCGCCCCAAGAACTGGCCCGCCACTTCCAACCACCTCCTCAGGCTCAACGCTTCCGTCAAGATGACATCATCATCATCGACACAGCTCCCATTACCTCTGCAGTCCCACTTTCTTGGAATGGTCCGCTTCTTCTTCACCAAAAAGAGATCGAATAGGATCGCGGTGGCGGAAGTAGAGGCGGCGGCCTTGCCGGCGGCGGAGGAGGAGGAGGAGGAGGAAGGCGGCGGTGATGATAGTTGCAGGCTTTATGTTGGGAATTTGCCGTACAATTGTGACAGCGCACAGCTTGCTGGGCTTGTTCATGAATATGCGACCCCGGAGCTTGTCGAGGTAAAAACATTTGTGTTTCTCTTATGCTCTGTTTGGATTGATTTGGTCGGATTGAATTGAATTAGTTGTTAATTATGATTAATCAGGGCTAGTTCGGTGAGTTTTTTAGAGATTGATATGATACGATCGAGTATGATTTCTGAAATATCACATAAATGATATGAGTTCTGTAATCTCGAATGAAAGTGTTTGGGTAGATTTAGACTTCATCAAACACCGGTAAAAGATTCTCATCTTGTGAGATATCAAAATGCATATCTTCTGCAGTCGCCAAACGGGCCCTTAGTTTGGTATAGTGTTTAGCATTGCAAATTGCAATGGCTTGGGTATTGGTCTTTGTCAATGCCAAAAATTGAATCAAATCAGTTATCCATTTCGATTCGAGATCTTACTAACCCAATTTTTTTTCTCTCTCAAAATTATGACGCGAAACTCTAACTCTAATGCTATAAAAAAAAGACTTGAATTTTCATACCATGTGGTGAGTATAGGTTCTATATGATAGAGAAACTGGGAAAAGCCGAGGATTTGCCTTCGTGAGGATGAGTTCTATCGAAGATTGCAATGCGGTGATCAAGAATCTGGATAGAGTGGTAAGAATCGAAATCTCAGCATCGGTTTTATAATACATTGATAAAATATATATATATAAATATGTTTAATTTTCTGAACGTATAACTACAAGTTTGAACTTTTGGTTGAACTGAATATGATGATATTGCAGGAATTAGATGGTAGAATATTGAGGGTGAATTTCTCAAACCAACCTCAATCAAGGGAACCTCTACATGCAGAAACCGAACACAAGATCTTTGTTGGCAACTTGGAGTGGTCGGTCACGTCCGATGTTCTGAGACAAGCATTTGAGAAATGTGGGAATGTCGTCGGGGCCCGGGTTCTCTACAATGGCGAGACCGGTAGGTCCCGCGGGTACGGCTTCGTTAGCTACGAAACGCGCGAGGAGATGGAACTAGCACTTGAATCTCTCAATGGAATGGTATGCACACATTGATATATCCCAACAAAAATCTTTTGACCCCAAGGGCTAGTGTCATATTATGACACCTGCCCATTTCAGGGTCCTTTTGCTCGACCCCAAAATAGTTACTACTCCCTAACATTCCCACAAATCTCAAAAAATTTTAATGCAAAATAAATTTAATGAAATTATTCTGATACTAAAAAAAATGAAACATTTTTGTGCAATATTTATAATGGCGCAGGAACTGGAGGGGAGGGGTGTACGCCTCAGCATAGCAGAAGGCAGGAAGAATCAGTACTAGTGGGAGGATAATATTAATATATAGATAGCATTTCCATTTTTTGTAAAATTTCAGGGCAAAAAAATAATAATTGTGCACAATTCTAGTGGAAATATTATATTACTCTTTTACTTGTACTAATAAAAGATTAACAATACATTTCCATATCTTGCATGATTAATTGTTGTTTAATTTTGTGGGATTTTGGTTTTGTATTTATAAATATTTCCATAGATACATCTAGTAACAATATAATATGCATGTCATGTGGACTTTATATTAAAGTTTTCATTTGTTTTATTTTGCATATGTAGTGGGAATATCTTAGGAGACTATGTCTCCTTTGGTTTTTAAAAAATAAGACAATTGACTTTTTAAGGAAAATGTGAATCCCTTGTTTAAATTACTTTAAGAAACTTTAATTTAAGAAGTATAGTTTTTTTCCTTTAAACTATGATGGTCTCCTTTAAGAATAATAGAATAATATTTTCAATTGATTTTAACGTTTTAGATTATTTTTAACAATGCAGATTAACATTTTAATTAAAACGTTGTAACTAGATGTTGTTGCTAAACAATCTTTTTAAAACATTGAAGTTTTTGCTAAATGGCCACATTTAGCTTATAAGTTAGCAAAATAATATACTCCTATGAGTAAGAATAAATACTTCAATCACAGTGCAGTGAAAAAATATTACTACTATTTATTTTTGTAAAAAATGTGACTGCCTTTTATTTTTTCACTTTTAAAATATTCAAAAGCGCATTGAAACATTATTCTTTTTAGAAAATGTAACTCCTTATTTTTTCCTTTCAATAAGGCAACTAGAAACTCCAAAATGTTCAAAAAAGCCTCT